GAAAAAAAACCAAACCGAAAGAGAAAAAAAAATGAAAATTTTTTTTTTTAAAAAAAAAGGAAAAGAAAAAGGAAAAAGGTTCGAAAGAGAAAAGAGGAAACTTAAAAAAAAAGAAAGAACTGAAAGTAAAAGATCGATTCAAGGAAAAAAAAAGAAAATTAAAAAAAAGGGAACTGAAAGAATTCAATCAATAATATATATTTTATCGAGTTTTTAATTATCATTAACCTTGTGTTTATCTTAATAATAATATAGGATTCCCTATAATAAATTTATTCCGTGTTTTTTATTCTGTTATTTCCGTAAATGTATTATATTCACGGAATTTATAGCCTCAAAATGTATAGATTTTTAGTTAATTTTCCGTAATATAGAAATTACGGATAAATCTTTTACAGAAATGATATCTTCTAACAAAAATGTTAATTTTTCGTTACTTATAAAGATGATCAACTGGTCCTAATAAATATTGTGTATTTGCATCAAAAAGATTTTTTTTCAACCTCAAACTTGCCAAAATTATTAGAATTTAGAACATTTTAAATAATGAATTTAAAGATGTGATTTTATTTTTGTAATTTTTAGAATACACAAATGATAAAATACAGATAGGTATGGCACGTAATTTAAAATAACATGTTCTAAAACAGTTTTCGTTTTATTATATATAAATTGATTTTTTAACCTAAATTTAAGATTTAAAGCATTAAGCTTATAATATCGAAGTGTTTTAAAACATTTTTTAACACATGTTTTAAAACACCGAAATCGTTTTAAAACATGTCCCTAAATACAGAATACAAGACAAAATATGTAATAGTGATTCGAATATTAAGTAATTTGATAATATAATAATAACAAAATATATATATATAAAGTACAAATGTACAATGTATTATTACAAATAAATAGATAAACTATAGACAAATGATTATTTAACAATACATAAATGTTTAATTTCCAATCAGATCTGACGATAAAATTCGTAAATGTAAAGAATTTTATTTTATTACATAATTGTACAGCCACCAGATTCACCCGGTTTTTCAGTGGCTTCAGCAGTTGCGATAGATGGAATGGATAGTTTAATGGTAACTTCAGTCTGATTCATTTTGTTAGGAAATTTAAAGAATTTAATTGATTTTAAGAGTTTGAATTATGCGAAAAAAACTATCAAAGTATTTTTTCTTTTTCTTTTTTTTTTTTTGATTGAATTTTAATTTTTTGTCTTCTTAAGAAAATTTTTTGCTAATTTATACTTTTTCATACTTTTGGATTGAAAAATGTTTAATATTGTGTGCATTTACGCATGTCTCCGTGTTTGAAAAAACAATTAGTAATTGATCTACAATACGAATTTTTAGTTACACTTTTTAGGAGCTGAAACATCACAACATACAAAAGAATTTCATACAGACAATATTTTTACCATATTTGTGTGTTAACAATATTTTTTTAAAATTCAGTATAAGTATTGTCCTAAAATACTATATTATTATATATATATATATTTTTTTTTTTTATATTGTTTTATTATCTTTATCTATTATTTGAAATCATTGCAATCATGTGGTGTCACGTTAAGACTCCTTTGAATTGTGTAATTGTGTAGCTTTTCTCCCACTCGTCAGTTATATTACAAAACAAAAAATGAATAGTATTCCTAAGGAAAATTTTTGGTTACATTAATTTCCAAAAAGGAAATATCGTCTCACGTCGCTTTTCAGCAACAGGCTATCTGGACAATTCAACGGTAAATGTTGATCTGTAGAATTTATATAAAATAGTCACCTTTCTTAGGTGACAATGTCAATAAATGATCGGCAAATTCGTGATGAAGAAATTAAAAATTAAATGTAAAATTTTTTTAAAAGAAAAGGTGGATTTTTTTCGTCATGTGGGAAAATCCAAAAAAACTGAAAAATATTTTTTTTTTTAAAAAAAAAAAAAAGAAAATTTGTCATATGGGAAAATTCAAAAAACTGAAATTTTTTTTTTTTAAAAAAACAATGACGATTTCTAAAAAGACAATGATGATTTCATTGTCACGATTAAATTATTTTTATAGCTTAACAAATTTTTTATTGGTTTAGTTTAATTTCGTTGCTATAAATCTGTCCTACGCCAATCATTTAATTCAAAATTGTATTAGGATTAGGGAGCTGCTAATAAATGGCAAATGATGCGCCACTCTGAATCCTATATAAGAATCTGTAGCACAGGGCGCAGGCACATGATGCTGGACGATCTAATTTAAATCCACCTTTTTATGCGGGGTAGTCTAATTGTTACGGGCGCACAGGGATTTTTTTATAGATATAGATAGAAGATAGAAGATAGATAGATAGATAATAATATAATAAAGTCCCCTAAGAATTCCTTAGAATATTCTAGAATCCTTAAAGATCCGATAATTTGTGGATTACAACTTTATATTAGATATTTTTATCTTCATTTTTGATTCCACGTGAACAAAATCACGATAAAGATTAAAACATACAAAGACGAACTAATAAGTAAGTCAAAAGCGCCACTCTGGTGTCGATAAAATAAACCTATGGTGTGTTGTGTCCCGCCCATGGGTAGAATGTTTCACACTATTCTAAATTGTTTTTTTGTTTTAAATGTATATCTGCTGACTAAAAGTTAAAGTTTTTAGTTTATTTTTAGTTATGTTACATAGAGATATTTTTAGTTATTTAACGATTAGATAAAATCGGAAGCTTAGCGGTGGGAAAGTGGCTGAATTGAAGGTGGCTTAATAGATAAATACGACCAATAGACAAATTTGGCGTTAGGCGAGATTGGCCAGGGTAGCAATCTTTTCGATAGTCAGATTCGCACCAAATTTTTAACGATATATAAAGAAAAAAAAGTAGTTTATGTAGTTTGTGTAGTTTGTGCAGTTCATGTAGTTTTTATTAAGTTAAAAGATATCAGATATACGGATATTACAGAGCGCCGAAGCAGTAATATCGTATTTTGTTTATTAACGAATAAACCTGCCGATTTGTTTCCGAATTACTTATACACGTTTTATCATTTTTCATCATAGTATAAATTGTACGTTTAATTTTCTATCATATACTGATACGGCGTCTCTTTGTTATTTGTTCATGAAACCAATTTTGAGTAGTTCTATTCGTTTAACAGTTCCAATAAATGAACTGTATCCATTAAAATGATTAAGGAAGGTTGAACTAATTGTGGTTGAATTCTGTTCTGGGAAATAGTCCCTGAATGTGAAACAATAATATCTAGGATTATTTCCATTAAGAGAAAAGTCTTCTATCTCATTCATCCTCTGAAACGTCTTGAAGATGTTACTATCGAATTGCGTCGGGGTCACGTGATAGTAACAGAAATTCGTGCTATGTTTATCGTAAAATAAAGTGTATATGTGAATTTAAAGTTTATATGTTTAATTTTTAAAGTATAAGTTTATTCAAAATAAATAATAAATCAAAATAATGAAACAATACAAATAAATAAATACTAATTCATAAATCATAACAATCATAACAAAAACTGAAGATAAAATATTGCTGCCTCCACCGGCGATCTGCAATATTACCGATAAAACTAAACTAAACTAAAAATTAATACTCTATATAAAAACCTTCTTCCTCACCATTCGCTCATTCTATATATATTGTTCGAAATTTTGGTATAAATTATACTATGTGTAAGTTAAACTTCGTATAAATTACACTGGGGTGTAAATTAAACTAAGTACTGTATAAGTATAAGTTACACCGTTACACCGCTGATCACTGGACTTTCGATGTGGCGCAAATCCGCGTAACAAAGATCATTCCATTAGTCTTTACCTTTTTCAGTGTTAGTGTTAGGGGTTTGCAGATCATCTGATGCTGGCGTATTATCGATCGACATATTCGGATTATGAATTGAATGGTCGATATTCATGATCCGTTAGATTGCTAGCTGTATCCGAATTATTATTGGGTGTAAACTGTAAAGATTTCTTGATCATGTGCTTCACTCATAGAAACGTCTTAGTTTTTTTTGATCGTTAACTATATCAATAGTTAAGTCCTGTTGAGTAGCGTTTGGGTTGGGGTTAGTTTTGTCATTTGGTTTACTTTTGGACATACTTCTAGTCGTTCTAGTGTTAGACGTTACTGGTGTCATTTTTATTTGTAAAATATCTATTTTATTATTTGGACTTTACTCTTTCTACGTCGTCTATATAGTTTGATTTTTTTTTGAACAAAAACAATAAAATTTATTAATAGAATATTACGTTTTATATATGTTTTTAAATTATATCATAGACAATTATTTATTTATTTTATTACTAAAAGAGTGTTAAAACCCAGGCTATTACAAATAGAAGAAAAAAGAGTTCGGAAATACTTAAAACTAATATATGTGTATAGACCTTTGTTCGTCATCCCCTACGGGACCCCACTCTTCGATCTGTACTATTTGATAAAGTAGGACTACGCTAAAAAATCAAATGGCAACAATCAAAAAAGCTAATCTAAAAAAAAAGAAAAGTTAGTTGATCCGTATTTTTCTTTTGGCCTAAGCCACCACCTGTAAATACTGTCATAGGTGGAATGGTATACCCTATTCTTATTGTATATACTATCATTGTAAATTTAAAAACATAAAAAAGAAAATAAGAAATAGACAACATCTATATATAAAAATGATTCCAAAATAATGAAACACTAATCTATGAATTCAGATATAAGAACAATAATAAAATTATTTAGACGGTCCCGCCTGCTCGGAATCAAGAGCTAAAAAAGTATCTAGGCGAGAGCGTTTATGGATGCCGTGGGAACTCGAGTTATTATCAAAGGTGCGATCTTTACGTATTGAAGGACGGTATTCAATTTCTTTGGTGTCATCAGACGTGTATGGGTTGGTAGGAAGTATATTATCCTTATAATCGAACCTTGATCGTGTGGTATCACACATTAAGCTAAGAGGAGATGATACGCCAGGGTAGTTAATGAGAAAAGAATCTATTTCCGATTGTAAGAGTTTCTTCTTTTTCTTTTTCTTTTTGTTTGAAGAGGTAGGACGTTCGGCATTCATCATACAATTATGATAAGAATTGCTCCACCTGGTTAAATCAGATGCCTGACGTTGTCGATATTTAACGTGTTTAGGACTAGTGCCGTGGTATATGGCTAAATCATGAATCCTAATATCTTCTTGTCTTATGAGATCGGTTATATTCTTTGAACGTTCTTCGAGACACTGTTGATAACGAACTCTAGAAGCCTCACCCTCGGCAGTAAGTTCATCAATGTAAGCGGTAAATTTAGCATCATCTGCTTTTCTAAGGCGTTCATCACGGGTATCTAAGTCCAATTGATACATATAAGTAAACCATTCCCTAGACCCAGGGATAATAAAAGAACCAGAATTATCGTAAATAGGATCGGGCGGTATTATATCCTGATATTTAAGAGAAAAAACCATGTCCGGAAAAGGATTATAAGGAGCGACCGTATATAATATTTCATCGTTAGAGACTGAAGCTGAAGTCACAGCTGTGGCAAGGGAAGTATTATATGTAGCCATAGGTCAGCGAGTCGTATTCGTATTAATACCAAAATAATGAGGAATAGTAAAATTATAATCCTTTTGTTTGGGGATATCAACAGTTTTCTTATAACATAAGTGTCTGAGACGAGTCGTGAATTTTTGAGATGGTAAGAAAAGGAATCATCCTTTTTTAGCCGCGGCCAGTTTCGTTGATGTACTGGAGACAGCGCCTGGTTTAATAACTTCTCGTGATAAGATACGATGACAAGAGCGTTCGAATCTAATTTGCTGCTTTTTAGCTGTCCTCGGATTAGGACTTGGAGATAGTTGGAAGTTATTCATAAGTTTGTGATAAATGTGAGTACGTCCAGGTCTGAGTTTACGATTTGAATTGCAGACAATATATCTTGAGTTATAAGAAATGCCCGTTCTTAAGGAGAATATCGATTTCAATTCTTTTTTTATCCATCGGTCAAATGTCAAATTAGCGTGGAACTGTTTGTCATGTCATTGATTTTTAGGTGTAAAATCACCATGTTCATTTCGTACAAAAGCTATTGCAGCTGGGTATTTGTGAAAAAAATGTAAGCCACATCCATGCCTATTATTAGACATTACTATAGGACAAGGAACCTCACAAAGTCGAGGTGGAATAGGTAAGCCTTTTGCCTCAATCTTATGGTCGCAAGGGATAAAGATGCCAAAATGAAATCTATATCTTTTGTACGAGAAATTAAAAAAAGTTTTTGTAGTTGTATTCTTATTGATGATCTTACTCTCACGTGACTTGATTAATGTGATTCTATCTAATAATTTTTGGCGTATCATATTAAAATATTTTTTTTGAATACGACGTGGAATAACTTTTTGTGAGGAAAAAAAATGCTGAAGGCCTTTGCTAATTTGATATTTGGCGTTCGGTAGTGCACTTGTGGAATGATACTTAATAGGGGTAGTTGACATGAGATAATCATTTGTGTGTATCCGTAAATGAAGTTGATTGGTGTCCAAATGGTGATCAACAATCTCAAAAAAGAAACTTTTTGAACGTCTAAATTCGTAAATCTTGTTATAACCGGCTTTGTGTATTCTGGTCACGTGAAATTTCTTGAAAGAAATGAGAAAAGAATTATCGACATTAGGTGGGGTCGTCGTTGAAGAAATGGAAGATATAGAAGAAAAATCTTTTATTGGATAACCATCATTATTATTATTTAGAGAAGTGTGAGAGTCAACGTCCGGAATTGGATAAAGAGAATTATCATGTGAAAATGAAGGGTCGTCGATGCGAATAAACGAGTGTGTTGATGAAGATGAAGACCAGTCTATTACTATAGAGTTTGAAGAAGTCATATTCCCTTGGGTGTGGGTAAAATACTAACTAAAAACCTCGTATTCAACCAGAGGCGCCCTCTTGGGCCTCTTCCCCTTTAGCGTTTCAAGTCGAAACTGAGAAAAAATTAACTAGCGCAAAAATACTGCGGAAAACTAACAAAAATAAAAAAAGGGGAAAGAGTTTTTTATATCATAGACAATAACAGATAAATGTATTTTTAATACGTGGTTCGGAATAAGTCACATGACTTTCATGTAGTTGCAAATTTCCCTCTCAGAAGTCACTTTTTTTGGAACTAAGAACCTATAAGTTTGGGTTAGATTCATTATTAATGAGGAAACAAACAAATAAATCAATTGATCTAATCTTATCTAATCAATAATCTGTCAATGAATAAAGTTTCAATAGTTCGTTAATCGAGATTACGATAAATAAATTTAATAATATATTTATTGATATAAAAGCTAATTTAATACATTTGTTAGTAAATAAAAAAATATGTATAATAACAAATAAAACATATATTTCAGAATATAATTTACTTTATAACTCATAAAAAAAATAAAATATTACTTTCAAGGATAAATTTTACCAAGTTTTTTAATACAAATACCGTAAGGTCTAATATCATCACTTTGTGGACTAATCCAATATTCGCCAATACTAGTGTTAATTTTATTTAAAGTTTGAGGATTTACTCTATTTTGAAATACAAGACAATAAACTTCGTTATTATGAATAAATTTATTAGCAAATAAAGCCGCAACATTGATATCAGGAGTAGAATAAATTCCATATCCAAATTTAAATCTTTTTCCCTTTGTAATATCAAAACCAGTTTCAGCAATTGATCTTGCATTAAATTTATCTGTTCCATGATAAGAAACAGGCCATTCGTTTGGGTCTGATTCATAACGCCAAGATCCTTTTTTAGCTGCTTTACCTAACCAAGCATTATCTCCATATTTATTTAATACTTTAACGGCAATTCGTTTCCAACCGCACGGTCTGCGATATTCGTACGATCCTCTCATAAATTTTATATCATCAACAATATTCGTAAAATCACAATCATACATTGGATCAAGGAAATCTGAATCAATAAAATTAATAACTTCATTATTTTGGCCAATCAAATTAATCATTGCATTATTATTTAATATATTATAATCTAATAATGTTAGATTATCTTTTAATAAAATTCCCGAATAAATCAATCGTTGTTGATTTGATGGAATTCTAGTTTTACTTTCAATATGAAATTTTATGACAGAAATTTTTGCGATAATTGGAACATTTTTAATTGGAATTATTTGTCCATTTAACGTGCAAATTCTAATGACTATCATGGTCGGTTTTTGAGAAATTTGATTAGAATTTTGCTGAATTTGTTTAGAAATTTGTGACTGTTGTGAATGCTGCGATTGAATTTGTTGAGAAAGTTGCGATTGTTGCGATTGAATTTGTTGAGAAAGTTGCGATTGTTGCGATTGAATTTGTTGAGGAAATTGCGATTGTTGCGATTGAATTTGTTGAGAAAATTGCGATTGTTGCGATTGTTGCGATTGAATTTGTTGAGAAAATTGCGATTGTTGCGATTGTTGCGATTGAATTTGTTGAGAAAGTTGCGATTGTTGCGATTGTTGCGATTGTTGCGATTGTTGCGAGTGAAGCGCTTGCAATTGTTGAGATTGAATTTGTTGAGGAAATTGCATCTGAATTTGAGACAATTGCGATTGAATTTGTTGAGGAATGTGCGATTGAGCTAGTTGAAAAACTTGAAATTTTTGGGCAATATGCTGTTGAAAAGGGAAAATTTGTTGAGAAATTTGTTGAGGAAGTTGAGTAATTTGTTGCTGTAAAGAAGACATCATAAAATTATTCGGGTTTACAATAAAACACTGCGTATTATTTGCAGAACAAAAATGAGAAGATTCTTGAGTAGAAAAAGAGGTATCAGAAGCAAATTGGGAATCGGAACAATCAATATCATGTTGATTGATATTTTCGTTTCCTTGCGAAGAATAATGAGGATCAAGATCATCATTATTATTTTGTACTTCCCCACCAGCTAAATAAGAACTATGGAGTGATACTGGATTAATGTTTTGATAAGTAGCGTTATTTATCCCATTGTGTATTTGATTCAAATACTCTGATTGTGATATAATGGATAAACCGGTCAATGATTTGAGGGCTGCAGCAACAAGTGATGAATTTGAATTATCAAAATTGTATGCCATCTTTGATATATTTTTCTTTAAAAAAGAAAAATATATCAAAGATGGCATACAGAGTTTATATAAAAATTTTCCCCCATTCAACATTCAAATATTACTTAATTTAGAAAACTCAATGAAGGTGATCATTTTCATTAGAATTAAATTTTTAATTTATTAACATAAAAATTTATTAAATTTTTATAAAAAAAATTCTTGACTTTTCGTCCAAACGGCACACCGTAGTCTTATATACATTGTAATGTGCTTAAAATAACCATATATCATATATCTATTATATAATATAAAACATATATATTAGAAACTATTATAAAAGTGATATCCTCGATTTTATCAGTTTGGAAATTAAAACAATGCGGTACAAGCGGTAGTTCTTTCAAGGATTTCCAAATTAAGAAGTTCATTCAAAGTGGGATTGGATTAGAACTGCAAAAACACAAAGAAAAAAAAAATTAACGTTTATTAAACTAAACATAGAAAATAGATTTTTTTGGTTAGATCTATTAATTTCAAATGAAGTAATATACAGTAATATTGTTTGTTAATAAATCTGTATATCTGCTATTCATGCAGGAGTTCATTTAAAAAAAAACGGTTAAAAAATTATTTATTATTAAAAAAATGTTGTGTTACAAATAATCTGTTGATACTTTTGAATAATTTCTTTCAAATTGGCGATACATTGTAAAGCTTCCTTTTAGATAGTGTTTCAAAGAGTCATATTTTCTTTGAATTCATTTGATGGCAGATTATCTATTATATTTCAAACGGACTAAAAGTCAAACAAAACTACGATTACAATAAAATAAAGTAACAATCAAAGTATTAAGCACTCGGAGCGAAAGTTGTGAAAGAACCGATTTTCAACTCCGGTGACTCCGATTCACTGATATTCTCTGAAGCAATAATAATAAAAATTATAATTTCCGCAAAAATAAGTTTGAAGTATTCTCAGCAGGATAGCCAAAATAACGATATTTGAAGCTTAAACAATGAATAGATCCAGCTTATAAGAGTTCAATACTATATTTGCACTCCATAAGTGCATACCTCTCTAAGTGTACACTTCCGCTATTTTTTTACTAAATGGTTTTGCAGACAAATTTGACTGCAATTTTTTAAAAAAAAATAAATAATTATTGAGGAATTTTCTCAATATTGATCAGTTTCGCCAGCCATCAGATTAATTTATTACATTTATTTTTTATCATTAAAGACTTTAAAATTCTAATAATCAAAAAGATTTCTAATTTTTATTTTCTTGTAAGCTCTATTTAAAGTCGTCAAAATTCCACTTCTAGATCCAAAAAAATTACCATATTGAAGCTACAAATTTTCTTAAAATACTCAACAAAATCACCGCCAAAGATGAAGAATATTCAAAGAAATACATTTTTAGAAGTAAAAATTTTGACTAATATTTTTCAATATCTGGTTAAAAAACGAAGGTCATCATTATGTGTATATATAAGTTGGTTTAGCTATTCAAAATTTTTTTTAAAAATTCTTTGATTCTTGATTCTGATTATTGAAAGTAAGCGAGAATTTATAATATAAGTTTCATAAATTTTATTTAATACATTATTCGATACTAAATATACTAAATCCACCAAAATAAACTCGCTTTTTAACTATAACTAAAAAAATTTTTTTTTTTTTTTTTTTTAAAAAAAATTAATAAAAAAAAAAATAATGTTTTATGAAATTAATTACATAATATTTAAATCTTATAATTACATATAAAATTTTGTGCATCACTTCTAAACTAACTATATACATAGTTTTTACCAATTAACAGTTTCAAGCTTATCTACGTCTCACCCACTTTTTCTTCTCCTTAGGATCTTTAGCAGGCGCATTTGCTGCTTCACGAGCAGCATTACGGGTGATTCGTTTCGTTGGAGGCTTTGGATAGCGTCTCCTATCATTAATTGGACGAGATCTTCGAGGAGCGATCGAATCCTCATCTGTAGAACTACTACTACTACTACTGAGTGACCCTTTACGAATTTCCTTCCTAAATTTCTTCCGTGAAGATGCAGCTATGGCCGCTTCTCTTTCTCGTTGACGTTCTCGGGATCTTTTCTTGTTGATTGCGTCTTTAGAAATAGTAACTTCTTTCTTGCTTTTATTTTTTTTAACTGTTATTTGAATAGTTTCTGACTCAGATGATGATGTCGATGACGTTGCAGATGAAATTTCTTTCCTCTTAGCTTTTGTTCTTGCCGACGATGAGGATATTTCTTCCTCCTCGGACGAGGAAGAGGAAGAATTGCTCGATGATGAACTTTGCGATTGCTCTTTTTCTTGTTCATCTTGAGGTTCTTCTATAGTTAAAGATGTAGTATTTTTCTCTTTTGTTATAATCATTTCGCTAGTGGGGTTTTCACTCAAATCTTCTTGCAGGTTCGTTCTCACTGAATTTTCAGGGCTCACAGTATTATTATCTGCATCAGGGTTCTTTGATTGATTGTTAATATCCGAATTCATTTGTTTCTCCGGATTTGTAGACGTAGTATGCAGGGGTTCATCCAATGGTGCACTGAACGTAGATCGAAATGGTAAGACAGGTGGCGCAAACCACTTTCTTGGTGGAGCTGTCGCGGGCTTTGAATAATCAGGATATGAAATCGTTGGTTCTGGTGGTGGTAACACTATATTGTTTCTTCGTGTCGCTGTAGTGACTAAAGGTGACATTGGAATCGTTGACTGATTAGGAGCCGTTGACTGATGGGGAATCGTAGACTGCATAGGAATCGTCGGACCACCTGTCGACTGAATGGAATTCATTGAACACGTCGACTTATTGGAGAACATTGTATTTGTCGATTGAATGGGAAACATTTGGCTGTTCTGTTGAATAGGATACGTTTGATTTGTTTGCTGAATGGGAAACATTTGATTTGTCTGCTGAGTGGAAAACATTCGACTTGTCGGCTGAATGGTAATCATTGGACCTGTCTGTTGAATAGGATACATTGAGCCTGCCTGCTGAATAGGATACATTGAGCCTGCCTGCTGAATAGGATACATTGAACCCGCCTGCTGAATAGGAATCATTGAGTCCGCCTGCTGAATAGGATTGCACAGTTGACCTACTTGTGGACTTGTCTGTTGAATGTTCGGCCTAATCATTACTGGACTTTTTGGCTGAATAGGAATTGTATTCGTCGACTGAATTTTAATTCGAGCCGGAATGTACCATGCGTAAGCTTTTTTTGATGAAGATGAAGGAGGAGTTGATCTTACATCTTTAATAGAAGATGTTGATTGTGTAACTGATGCTACAACGGGAATCATTGAGCCCGCCTGCTGAATAGGATTGCACGGTTGACCTACTTGTGGACTTGTCTGTTGAATATTCGGCCTAATCTTTACTGGACTTTTTGGCCGAATAGGAATTGTATTCGTCGACCGAATTTTAATTCGAGCCGGAATGTACCATGCGTAAGCTTTTTTTGATGAAGATGAAGGAGGAGTTGATCTTACATCTTTAATAGAAGATGTTGATTGTGCAACTGATGCTACAACTTTAGCAGCAGATGATTCAGATGATTGTGTAGCTAATGTTATATCTTTAGAAGTAGACGATGATTCCAGTGATTGTGTAGCTGATGTTGCACCTGTAGAAGATGATGATTGTGTATCCGGTGTGTTTTTTGAAGATGAAGAAGTTGATTCCAATGATCGTGTAGCTGATGTTGTTGCATTCGACAATTCTATTGATGGTGTAGTTGATGTTCCATCTTTAGCAGAAGATGATGATTCCGATGATTGTTTAGGCGATGTTACATTTACTAAATTAGAAGATACTGACACTACATTTGAAGCAGGTGATGATGAATCCAATGGTTGTGCAGCTGATTTCTCTTTTGATGACGAAGACGATGATGATTTTGCTGAAAGTGATGGAGCGATTGACTGAACATTTGTAGATGTTGATGGAGTAGTCGTTGGTGGATTATTTGATGGAACATCTGGTGGAATAATAATTGATAAAACAGTATTAATAGTTGATGGAATAGCTGATGAAGTAGTAATTAATAATGATGAAGTAGTAGTTGCAGTTTTTGATATAACAGTTGATGGAGCAGTTAATGAAATATTTGGTGATGGAGCAATTGATGAAGTAGTAGCTAATGATGATGGAGTATTTATAACCAACGTTGAATTATCAATTGGTCGTGGCATTTTCGGTATTTTCGCCAAGCTACGCTCACTTGCTGCATTATACGGGCGAGCATTATCCCTTGCCTGAAGTTGACTCTTAAACTCTGTTTGTCTTGCCTTCATATGGATTGGATATATCGGAATAGGCCGATATAATGGAGGATTTTCACCAAACACGCCCAACTCCTTTATTGTTGGCAAGCTAATACCTAAAGTACCTGTAATATTTGGAGAATAATCCGATTTCTGATGTTCATTTCCTAAAAAAGGTAAATATATTAAAGACATCTTTCTATAAAATGGCTTTCTTAAGCGAAACACACATGCACTTAAAATTTCTTACCTTGCTGCTGCTGCTGTTGATGTTGATGTGGTGGTGATGGTGGTTGTTGTAGTTGTGGATATGGTAATTGTGGTTGTGGTCCTTTACCTTTCTTATCTTTATCATTAACAAATGAATTTGGAAGCATATGACTAAATTGCGATCTTTGCTTAAGAATAACGGGTCTATTGGTTTGTTTTTTATTAGATTGACGTTTTGGACGGTTCCCAACAAATCTGACAACGTTGATAATATTGCTAACATTGCTAATTTTGCTAATACTGGTAACATTGTTCTCATTATAATTGCTATATTTATGAATATCGGCAAAAATATTGCAACTAATGTCGTTAGCATTATAACCATTATTAACATAGCTGACAGAATTACTAATATTGGCAGGCTTACTAACACTGGCAACATTGGCGGCATCACTAATATCGACGGTATCACTAACATTGACATCATCGTTAACATTGGTATTATCGCTAACTTCAGCAACATCGTTAATTTCGGCATCACCGTTAGCTTCAACATCACCGTTAGCTTCAACATCATCGTTAACGTCGACTTCATCATTAACTTTGAAATTACCTTTGACATTATCGATATCATCATTAACTTCGATATCATCGTTAATTTCGGCATCATCGTTAATTTCGGCATCATCGTTAATTTCAACATCATCATCATCGTTAATTTCTATATCATCATCGTTAATTTTTATATCATCATCGTTAATTTCTATATCATCATCGTTAATTTCTATATCATCATCGTTAATTTCTACATTATCTTTAAAATCGCTACATGAGTCATCTCTTGCACCACCATCAATTCCTCTTAAATTAACCATAAATTTAGCAAGTTCTAATTCTAAATCTTCAGATTTTCTTTGTTCAGGACCTGTTAATCTGGAACTTTCAGAACTTTTTGATTGTTCTAAACCAGAAGAAAAACCGGTACTAGAATGATGAGCGGGAGTGGAAGTAAATTGAATATTAGGTAAGCTTCTAGTTTCAGAAGGAGAAGAGACAGTTGAAATAATAGGGGGAGGATAAATGTAACCAACGTTATGAGGATATGGTAAATAATCAAAAGAATTTAAATGGTAAATATTTGAATAAGGATATCTATTAGGCACATTAGGCATAATGGGAGTAAAAGCAGAATTTCTCTCATAACCATTAAGGTGCCTTAATTCTTCTTGTATTTGAGGGTCTTTATTATTATATACAGATTCCATACGACTAGTTCGACTTCTTTATTACTTCTTGTCCAGGTGGTGGACCTCTTTTTTTTCACCTGGTTTACCAGGTTCACATTTTTATACAATATTTACAAGGAGTTTCGCCGGAACACTTAATCTCTCGTCTTTGACAATTTTGGCATGCGGTTGTAACTTTAAGTCGATAGTTATTATTATTCTTTTTTAGTCATATTATAAATGTTTTGGTGAAGCGTATATATATATATTTATTTATTTAAGCTAAGTAATATTCTATGTTTGTTTGTTTGTTTTCTTTTTTTTGGTTTTTTTTTTATTTCAAAGAAGAAAGATATGTGAAAAGAGGTTTCCAACAGAAACCGTTTGTAACAGTAACAAAGATTACCTGTTGGAGAACTTTCGCACTTTCCTAAAATTTAAAAAAAAAAGATGGAAAGGAAAAAAAAATCATTTAAGAGCGGAAAAATCTCGGACTTGCTCGGAAAAATCTTCTTATGCCAATATCGATAATATATAGTACAATCCTGGTTCAGTTCAAGCGCGTGCATAGCAGAAAGTCAATACGCCTTATATATCCTTGCACTACACTCTAAGGGGAAATCTGATTAGCGAAAGAGGGATACGAAAGAAACACAACATCAGAAAATCGTGTTTATTACTAACCATCATGCAGATAATAACGGTGTCTTCATTTTTTTTTTAATTCGTGCATAAACCTGATGTAGACATGTGTACATACATAAACATATATATAGTACTATTGTAGATTTTCTCCCGATCCTGATGCAGATATATTTTTTATTCACGCACAAATCAGTATGTATTATTTGCTATTGTATTTGTTGTGTTTGTCTTTTATCAATTTTAAAGAATCGTTGCAAAGTATTCCACAATCTTCGACATGGCACAAAAATTTTCGAGAAAGGATAATACATAGTAACATTTTTTCAGTTTGCAATATGAGTTGGCAATAAGGACAAGCAACAAGGGAGCGAGTTATTATTTTTATTATTTCAGCAGCAATGGTATTACAACACCACCATAATGTCGAGACTTTCTGGGTGCATTTATCAACAAACTACCATATGTTCATATATTAACCATGGAAAACGGATTTGTTTTTATATCAATGTGCCTAGAATATATATAGGACTTGGATTTAGGAGCTGTTTCTTCGGTGGCTACTTTATTAATGACAAGGAGAGGATTATCGTTCTATAATCCTCTAGTATCTGCTTTTACTTTCTTATACGGTCAAAATTTTTTTTTATCGTTCTTTTGTTCTTTTGAAGAAATTGGATTAATATAAAAATGGATAACGTGAAATTCCGTAAACATTGTTCACCGGAGAAGAATAAACTGTATGCTGATTTTTACGAAGTTGAGGCCACATACGACAGAGAGAAGTTGTCCACAATGTTGATAGTGCAAGACAACAATGCTCGTGGCTATAGAGCGTTTAACTCTTGTGAAGATTTTTAGGAATATAATGGAACTGTGCCTGAACATCATCGTTGTTTTCCTGAGGGGTTACCCGGTCACCTAAAATACAAGTAGATTTCTCTTCACGGTCGGAGATTCCAAGGAATGTGATCGTTGAAATTCTTGACAGAATGTTGATAGAGTTTCGTGCTAGTTTCAGTGACCGAAGAGATACACCCAAGAGTCTCAAGGATCTCGTGGTTATGGACGCAATACTCTTGATTTTTTGTCTTACAGTTACCATTTTCAACCTATCTCCTTTTAGGTAGCCTATTCAATGTGTCCGAACCATAGGTTCCACCCAGTATAAGCAGTCCCTTCACAAGAAAATCTCTCCTCTTAATCGGTCCTTAGGTACGGCAGTTGATGTCCACAGAAATGATCTGTTCGTTAACAGACTTTCGGCTACAGATCACGATGACAATGCTCTAGCAAAAGCAAACGAGAGTACGAAAATAGATTGTGTTCCACCTAATACATCTATTCATGGTCCCCTTCAGATTCATGGTACTACGGACATTACATTAAGGATGCTAGCTGTGTAGTCAGTTTTATTCAACCTGAAACTGTTAACGACAACTAATACAGATATTGGTCAACAGATAGTCCATGAGAAACAGTCGGCCATTTTACGATAACGAAAAATACATCATCACTTCGTGATCACAGCTCAGAAATGGCGAACATTTTGTCACATAACACAGGTAATTACTCCAAAGATATTATTACTGCTCCGTCTAATTTCCCGAAAGAAAATCCCTTTGCAGGGAGAAAAAATTCTTTTCCATAATAACCAGGATCTTTCCGTTCTCTCTACTTCTCCATCATCTTCCACAGGAGATAACGCTTCGGACGTTTTAACAGAAAAAATAAGGGACGTTATCACAAAATATATCCATAGTTGTACCAGAGCGAGTTCAAGAATATCTTTCACGGAAAAAAATCTCCAACTCATGTGAGTAGACATAGGATCAAACATCAAGACATTTATGGTGGAACGATAGCATGTGGTGGGAGATGGTTAAAAAATTTCACAAGAGACGAAAAGTGACTGCGTTAGACACGAATGATGATTTCATGATACACTTATCCGGACAAGCCTAGGAAAATTGTTTGCAATATATCCATAACCAGAGAAAATTAATTAATCGGAGAAAAGGAGTGAACATTCTAAACTCAAAGGTGTCAAAGATCAGCGATAATAGTGGGTTATCCCGCATCATCATACGAGACAATTGCAACATCACACGTAGTTCTCATATAATTGGATGCCATTTATGGACGGAGTATTGTACTACTACATGTGGTAATTACCTTGCGGAAAAACTGTTGCTCAATATTATTCGGCTGGTGGAACACGAATACTGGAATGTATGCAGGAGATGTTTAGGGATCTCAATGACATCGCACCTTTGGTGGTTTCACTGATTCGTGAAAAGTATTAGCGAGAATTGCAATCGATCAAGAATATATCATCTGAAGCGTTTACAACTTCTGTATGATAATGTTGGTAGGTTCATAATTCTTCTTGAGTAATGTAATTGTGGTATGGTGTTCTAATTTGTTATTGCGTGTTACTTTTTTGTCTTAACTAAAAACATAATGAGTCATTACTAAATAGACAATACTTTCCTAGGCGAAGCCTATATTTATTTTGTTTGAGTAGTACATGGCACTGCGAAACCTCAAACCCTTTCATGATCAATCAAAACAATAATCTTTTCAATGATCATTTTGTCTTATATCAAAGAGAACAGAAGTATGAGTAACACAGGAAATTTTCAACAAGTAATATTGAAATTATACAAACGTTAGCCGGTATGTATATTCATTTTTTTTTGAACGATACGAACTTCTTGTAGTTTTACGTTTGTGTCAAAAAAATGTTATAATAGTCACAACAACAAGCTAGAAGATAATCAAAATTTTGAAAACGCAATGGATTTCCATGTTTGAAACATCTCCAAATTGATATTTAACTTATTTCTGTAGTCAATAAGGTTTACAATTTTCTTGAATAATGCCGTATAAGTGAAATCCAAATGAAATAACAAAGTTGAAATGGTCAGAAAAATTCCATGGTCGAAATACGAAACCGAAATGAATGAATTTTGATAGGAAACTAGAGTCATACCAGTGGCCGGCCCTTACTAAGAGTATGATATATACCATATATACCATAAACTTTAACACTTATTTGTGAATATCCAAAATAAAAATGATTCAATAAAATTTATTTCACATGATTAAAAACATCGATATTTCAAATCAAACTTGGACGATCCTATGTCCACAAATTTTTTTTTTTTTTTTAATAAATCAATTCCCAATGTTTAAAATCTTTTATTTGCTCAAATACATCAACACTAAGCTTAAATTCTTCCATGACAGTTTTATGTTTTACAGAGTAAAAGTTTTTTTTTTTTAAAAAAAAAAAAATCCTCGATATCAATATCTCAATATCAATATTATAAAATGCTCCCGTTAACTATATAGCGTGATCTGTATATGGTGTCAACGTATTATGAGGGTCGTAGAGGGTCGAAATGACGAAACGTATTACAAGGGTCAAAACGTCAAGCTTGCTCTCATGTTTTCTGAGGCCTATCTGTATGGCAACAATGATGATACAAATTTACTCAGGGTTACAAGACTAATAAGGGTAATATCCTAACGGGGGATGATGGAATTGATTTAGTTGGGGAGCACAGGGGAGTAAAATTCGTTGTTCAATACAAGAATTTTACCCACAACAAAGTAAATAGCTCCCTCGTTAGAGATTTCATTGTATGTATATTTATGATTATTTAGAATTAAATCTTATATGACCTCAACTAACTAAAGTCAATAATTATTCAGGGAGGATTGTTAAAATATACTCC